GAACTGTACAAACAGCAAAAAACAATTGTATTATTTAGGTCAAAAAATTGTACAGGAGGTGTCATAGCACGATGCCTGCCGGTTATCGAAAAAAAAAGTCTGACTGACTTTTGAAAATAAAATTAGAACTGTTCAGTCTTTTCTGAAGTCAAAGGAATTCTTCTTTTACTTGATAATGTAACAGTCAATAAATACCAAGATGAGGCTTTTGTAGAAATAAAGCAAGAATTTAGTACAAATTAAATGAATCTTCTAAAAGATAAGCTTTAATCTGTAAAAACGTATTGTAAAAAATTTTAAAGAGTACTTCAAAAAATTTAAGTTTTTATTTGCAGAAACTCTCAAATCTTCAATGCACTTCTCTGGTAGCAGCTAATTACTGATTGTAGAAAATCAAATAAGTAATTTCAAAAAAATATTGTCAAAATTTTTCTTGTAAATTTTTGTGCAGTTTTTAATTTATTGTAATTTTTAAAAAATAAGACTGTAAATCAAAATTAGAAGCAAAAACATGTTCCAAATATTGGTGATAAGCTTTTTTTGTTGTATCTTGGCATTTTAAAACATTTACTCCACGAGAAACCTTTGCCTAATGCAAATCTTTTTCTCTTTTTTCTTTAAGGCTTCCAAGTTCCTATCAGTTTAGAAAAATAAAAGAAATATTACTGGATACATACTCTTCGTGCTAAATAGTTGAGTGTTTGAGCAAAAAGCAGTTCTTGACATTATCAAGTCTTGCTTGGTCTATTGCAAATGTATGTATTTTTATAAGAAATTTGCACTAATTTTTTTATTTTCAGAAATACCCACAAATGAGTGATTAGTGAGCAGATTAATTTGGTTGCAGCAGTCTAGACGGCAGTAAACAGATTTCTATTATAACCTATTTTAACAGGTAAAATGTTTAATAAAAGATCATTCTTGAAGCAGAATTTGATTATGAAAACATTGGGAACACTTTGAACTTGGATAGTTTTCAACATGGTATTTAGCAGAGAAAAAATTATTTTACAATCTATACATTTGTTATCTGAGCAGTGGAAGCTTTTAATTTGAATTATATGATATTTCTCTGTGCTTCTTATATTTTATTATTGGCAGATTTATTAGAACTTTTAAGTGTTAAAGCATTTCAAATGCTCATATTACAAACTACACTGATCTGCCGCAGGAGTACAATACCTTGTCGCATTACTTTTTTTCCCGATAACCGTTTATAAGAGATATAAACTGACACAGTCATCAGCTGTCAATAAAAAAAGTTGAACTGTACTTGTACTATTAATTTGGAACTATTCTGCCTATTTCCGATGACAGAAAATATCTAATTTTACACTGTTGTAAGCAAAATCTCGATTTGTTTAATTTTTTTTTTTTTTTTTTTTTTTT